CTCCTGCCACAGTCTGGGGTAGGAGCTTCTCAATTTATTCTCAACCAAAATTAATTAATTAGTACAGAGGAGTTGTTAATCACAAAAGAAAAGATAGATAAGTGGTCGGGTGGCCACTTCGTCCATGATTATAATGCTTTATTTTCTAGATTATCTTATTTTCTCTGTAGGGTGTGCATTTTAAGGACTCTTAGCAATTATTTCACCATGGACAGTATACCTTCAGACATTATTAGCTCCATAACTGGTTCCAGAAATGATTTGTGTGACATATGTCCCAAATTGCTTCTTATTGTAACGCTTAGGTGCAGTCCTTACCTGGCATACACAAACCAGAATTATTAGCACCATGAGCCTTTTGATGACGAATATTTAGGTAGTGATGTTATGACCTTGGAAGTTTATTTTGTTAGGGACTTTCTTTTGTAAAAATAAGATTTTTCTGTACATGGCATGGTAGTGGGCCTATGAATCAGTTGTTTTCTTATGCAGTCACATGGAAACATTGATTAGCTATATCTGTTGGATCTAACAAGCTTCAATTCATGTCCCCTGTTTATTGTTCACAACCAACATATCTCATCTATACAGTTAGTTCAATTTGATTGCAAGGATACCATTTCAGTACTGAGTTATATCCTTATATACAGTTGACATGATACACGAGCCACATAATTAAAAATCACCAACAAATGGGAAATGCTGTGCATTAACACTGATAGTCTATGAGTCATAGGGATAAGGCAGCATAGCACATTATCACCCTGTTCCAGATATTGACATGCACAGTCAATCTGCAGTTGATGTCCTCTTGATATTTTCAATTGTCATAAGTCAATCTGTGGTTGCTGTGGTCGCAGTTTGCAGTTGCCATCTGCCTTTTGGTTCCTTTAGCTGATGCTATTTGAATTGTTCAACAGGAAATGGAGATTTGGGGTCTGAGTTCTACGAAACACTAGCTAAGATGGCACCGACCAAAGAAGAAGAACTGAAATTGAAAGATTATAATGGCGATATATCAAAGCTTGATCCAGCAGAGCGCTTTCTGAAAGACGTACTTGATGTTCCTTTTGCCTTCAAAAGAGTAGACGCAATGTTGTACAGAGCGAACTTTGGCACTGAAGTGAATTATTTAAAGAAATCTTTTGGAACCCTAGAGGTAAATGTCTATGATGATTTGAACTTTTTTATTTTAATTCTCTTCCTCCGTTTAAAATTATAGTTCACTTTAGCTTTTGTCCTGAGTCAAACTTCTCTAACTTTGACTATGTTTTTTGAAAAATATGTTACACCTACAAGTTCAAATAATGCTCTATCATAACACATTTATTGGAGGACATGATGAAACTAATTTGATGTTCTATATGCTGTACTTTTTTTCTATAAACTTGATCAAAGTTTAAGAAATTTGACTTAAGACAAAGCCAAAGTGAACTATAATTTGGAACGGAGGGAGTATATAGTTGTTTTTACGTAAATTTACCACGTATTCACTTTTTTAGAAATAAATTTGTCACATTCTATATTGCTAACACATGTTTTTAGTAATTATTCAAAGTAGACTGCTTTAAACTTTATATTTGCTCTAGTATTTGTAGCATTTATGCACACAGTATAAACACCTTATGGATTTCATACAAGTTCCTTCATAAATTCAGGCCAGTTATCAAAACATAATATTTCTTCAGAAAATTTTCAGGCAGCTTGTACAGATTTAAGAAGCAGCAAGCTATTCTTGAAGTTGCTAGATGCAGTTCTCAAGACTGGGAACCGCATGAACGATGGAACTAATCGAGGCGAGGCGAGGGCCTTCAAACTTGACACCCTTCTAAAGCTTGCAGACATCAAGTCGACAGACGGAAAAACGACAGTGCTCCATTTCGTAGTTCAAGAGATCATTCGATCTGAAGGCTTCGGTTCTGATCAAACAGCAGCAGTGAATCCCGGAAGCACCAGTAAGGAACAGTTCAAGAAGGATGGCCTGAAAGTGCTTGCAGGGCTCAGCAGTGAGCTCTCAAACGTGAAGAGTGCTGCCACTTTGGAGATGGACACGTTGGTGGGCAGCGTCTCGAGGCTCGAAACCGACCTCGAGAAGGTGAAGCTGGTCTCTCAGCTCAACCAGGCATGTCCCGGTCAGGTCTCAAGCGAGAAGTTCTTCGAGGCGATTGACACGTTCCTCGGACATGCTCAGGCGGAGATTGAGACAGTGAAGGCAGCCGGGGAGAGCGCGCTGCAGCGTGTCAAGGAGACCACGGAGTACTTCCACGGCGACGCCATCAAGGAGGAGCCTCACCCGCTGAGGATCTTCATGGTGGTGAGCGAGTTCCTCGCGACGCTGGACCGCGTGTGCCGGGACGTCGGCAGGACGCCGGAGAGGGTGATGATGGGGTCCGGCAAGTCGTTCCGCGTCTCGGCCGGCACCTCCCTGCCGCAGCACCGGAACGAGCAGCGGAGGGAGCTCAGCTCCTCTGACGAGGACAGCTCCTCTGACTAGGAAACAAATTTTTTTTTGATGCGTAGAATAGTTCGGATTCGAGGCCTGTGATTCTTGCAGAGTTGTTGAGCATGTGTAGCCAATAATGTCAGAACTCAGTAGATAAAAGTTACTGGGTAGTTTCTACAGAGGTTAAAAGATATATAGCTGTACAAAGACAAGGGTTTCTTGGGTTCGGTATGATGGTATATCTTCTCTGTTACATTTGTAATTGTGATTAGTATAAAAGTATGCAGATGGGCCGGCTTACTGGACTGATGGTGATATTTGTAATTGTCATGGCGTGGAATTACGATAATAGGAGTAGTATGTACCAATCTTCAACATCCAGCCATCTGGGTGCGATGATTAAAGGTTACTTGAGAAACAAGCCTGTTCTGTCTCTGTATCTAGACCAGAAGAGGCTCAGTGATGGGTACACATGGAAGACAGGATCTAGGGCGAGTCGCTCCCAGCATGATCGCGGAGGGCCTGAGGCTGATGAATTATGGAAAGGCACATGGAAGTACGAAAACAGATGGATACCGAATTGGTGACAACGAAGTAAAAAGGATGTGCCAGCACAGATAGGAGAAGGTGGGTCTAAAGTTATTCTTGTTCTGTACTTACAAAAGAGAATTATTACGCCCATTTCGCAATATCTAACTAATTGGAGTCCCCAGACCCCAATGACGACATATACACGTTAATTATTGTGATATATGTTCGAAAAGAAAATACTCACCCCATTCAAAATTATAAGTTGCTTTTGACTTTTTTGATACATCCATTTTGCTATGTATCTAGACATATATTATATTTAGGTACGTAGCAAAATAGATGTACAAAAAAAAATCAAAGCGACTTATAATTTAGGACGGAGGGAGTAAATTCTAAAAATCCTCACAAAAATCAAACGTCGGCCATCACTTTAGCATAATAAAACCATCATTGATAATAATAACAATAAGATATATTATGCTATTATTAATTGGAGGGCTAGCAGATCTTCCATATTATTTAGCTCTCATGAGATGTGCTAGCAAAAAAAGATAAATTTTACAAACTCAAAAAATAAAAACATCTGGCCATTATAATACTACAACTGGATATATTCTACTTCAAAAAAAAAACATCCACATTTTTCTATTATATAAAGTAAAATAATTTAACACTCTAGATTTGCATCTGAAGTACCCCCACCCCCTCTATGCCATTGCGAAAGACAATTTAAAGTAATTCATAAATCTAAATTTAAACTAGCCACTTATATATGTTTAGGAAAGAAAATCTAAAATAAACCTCAAAATTATTATATGTACATTATCCACCTATGCCATTATGATCCCTCTAAACCTGTATTTGTATTGCACATCCCTATATAACTCTATTATCATGAAAGATAATCTACAAATTTTCTACATTACCATCTAAATTACATATCTGCTATTATAATACTCCTTAAATTAGCATCTAAATTACCTACGTATGTTGTTATTAAAAATATTCCCTTCTAAACTACCAACATATACTACTATAAAATAGTAAATAACCATAAAGTATGCATTCAAAATACCCACTTCTATACCACTACTAATTTATAAACAACTAGCTTAAAATAAGCGTACAAGGTATGTGCCACTATGGAGACCAAATATATATGCACGCGTAATAAGTTATAAATATATATTTATGTAGCTTAGCAATTACGAAAAATGATTCCTTACTAATACCCCCATCAGAATAAATTATATAATTTGTTATTTTACATGGATAATTTGATTGTAAGCACTTTATTTTGATAAAAACTAGAAGGATGTCACGTGTGTTGCTGTGAGGATCACTGATGGTTTGGAATGAAAATCGGTTTGCCTAAAATTATTAGCTTACGTGGCTTATTAGTATAAGCACTTTCATAGATGTTAGTGGATGATATGGAAAACTAAATGCATATTAGTGGTTGTTGTGGTTTGCTAATGTAGATAACTTGCATGAAGCGATTGATATGCTAGTGGGGTAGTAAGAGTGCAACCTATGAGCTAGAATCTCCTTTTAATAAAACATAAAAGGAGGTTTTTGAACAAAAGACATAAAAAGGACTAGATTTTCAACTTAAAATGGTTCTGATCTCTGGATACCTGCAAAAAAAATGATATCTGCCTATGAAAAAAAGAGATTATGATATCTTCAATGATTATAAAATCTATATATGGGCTCTAATGCTTGGGCCGGATCCGTTCAACAGTCCATTATGAACGGCCTCTCACAATGGGCTTTGTCTCGCGAAAGGCTGAAGAGAAGTAACAAAACCTGCCCACATTCCTTGCCAACATCCCACCCAGGCAGTTGCGATTTCCGTGTGGGATCACCATTCTCCGGTGCGCCGGCGTTCAAATCCGCCCAGCGTCACCCGCCACAAATCCAGCTCCGCCTCCGCCTCCCCCTCCCATCCATCCTCCCCCTCCTTCCTCTCAGCATCGCACATTTCGCACCAGCTTTCTCTCTCCTCTCCCACCCTTCCCCGCGAATGGCGCTGACGCCCACGCTGACGTCGTCTCGGTCGTCTCCTTCGCTGCCCTCGTCGCCGCACAGGCCCGCGCTCCGGCCGGGCAGCCTGCAGCGGCTGCTCCGCCCGCCGGACCCGTCCGACGACGACGACTCCTCTCCGACGCCGCGGTCACGGTCGCGCTCCCGCGCCCGTGAGCGTGCCCTGCTCCAGGTCACCAACATCACGCCGGCGCTCTCCGGCGCCGACCCCTTCTCAGGCCACCACGGCTTCTACCTCCGCCTCTCCGACTCGGCCCGCTCCTGCTACGTGTCGCTCCACGCCGACCACGACGATCTCATCCTCGCCAACGGCCTCCACATCGGCCAGATTATCGAGGTCGACCACCTCGTGCCGTCCGTACCGGCGCCCGTGCTCCGCGGCTTCCGCGTCCTCCCCGGGCGGTACCCCTGCGTCCAGCAGGACTCCGGCGATGACGACGTCGTCAAGGGGTCGTCTCCGAGCGGCCGCGCCGGCCGTCGCCGACGCCCCCGCTTCCTGAGAGGAGGGCGCGACAGGCGAGCTCCCCTGCCGCCATCGGCCACTGCCACAGGTCACGGTCGATAACGAATCTGTCCGAGGCGGGATCGCCGGCGGCGTCGACGGCGAGGAGGAGGGAGAGCATGATGAAGAGCTTGGACTCCCCGAAGAACCTGAGGAAGATCAGCGTCCCGTCCGTAGACGGTAACAGCAGCGACGACGAGGACACGTCGGACGTGTCGTCGTCGTACTCGTCGTTGTCCACGGCGAGGAGGAACCGGGATTTCAGCGGGAGTATCAAGGACGTCAAACCCGTCGCTCCCCGGAGACGTAGCAACAGTGTAATTAAAGCCATTTCTTGCACGCCCGTATATAGAAGTGTTCACTTCACCACAGTGACTAGAAATCAAGCTAATCCAGTGAAGTTTGCTGTATCGTGCAGGTTTCTCCAGGTAAATCCGGCTCAAAAACCCACACCAGAACGACGTGGTGAATGATCCACTGGAGTCCGTGAGGAGAAAGGCAGAGAAGGCGTTCAAGGTGCTCTCCAAGAGGAACAGCCACGCGTCTATCAAGGCTCCCAGAGACAGCTCCTGTGCCGCCACACCGATTTCGCAGAGTACTTCATCCAGTGGCATCAAATTTTTTGTGCCCGATCAAAAATATTATGGCAAATATTATGTAGTCTTTTCCCCCTACTCCGGCAAGGTAAGAGTTATAGAAATACTGTCTAACACTCGAATGTTTTAGAGCATTCCACTCGATTTTTCCTTTCTCTTCTCTTCCTCTTCCTCTTTTCCTCTCCAACTCCGGCGGGCTTAGAAGGGGCTCGGGGGAGGCAGACAGGCTAGGTGGTGGGGATGGCGGGAGAGCGGTGGTTAGGGTTCCGGTGGAGTAGGAGGCGGTCGGGCCAGGTCGGGCGGGGGCGGGAGAGGGGGGAGGGGGAAGAAGGAGGTCGCCACAGGCGGTAGGGTCCTAGAGCTCCACGGCACGCCGCGGCGAGACGGTGGGCAGTGGGTGACGGCGGCGCGTCAGGAGGAGGAAGAAGGTATGGAGAAAAAAAATCAGGTGTTGGAAGAACCTAAAACACGCGAGTGTTGTATATACATCCAAGAGTCGAGGTTTAGGGTTTGGGGCCTTACATGAATCCGGTGTCCTTAGAAGGACCGTAGGGGAGAAGGCTAGCTCGACAATGGTGCGGGCATAGGGGAGCGAGGGGCGAGGCGACGGTTGGGCGGAGCAAGGGTGGGGCGCGAGAGAGATATTCTGGTGACCTCCACCGGGTTAACATGGTGGCGGTCAGAGGCAAGGTCGGGTGTTGCTAGAGCCGACCAGGAGGCGGTGAAGGTGGGGGAGCTCAGCTAGAGATGAAGAAGATGGCACGGAGGAACCACATCCGATGGATTTAGAGTCGTGTTGTGGTGTTTGGCGGTGGATCCGATGGAGGCGGCGGGGGCGAGCAGTGCGTCAGGCTCAATGTCCGTTGAGCAACAACGTAGTGGATTTTGCTGATGACTACATTCAGTCTGCTGGGTTGGATGGATGCTTGGTCATAGTCCATCACAAAAGACAAGGTTGCTCCACGGATCTCTGGTTCCTGACGGACGTGAGCAATGGGTTTTGGACCAAACGCTACTCCATGCTACGCGCGCCACATTGGGAGCCCCGTGGTCCATTGCACCCTCCATTATCTCCATTGGTTGTCTTAGATGACGGGAGGATGGTCGCATGGTTAGAGGGACAACTTGCCCTAAAATCTTACGATCCATGGAAAGACGCATGGGCAGATCTAGATCTTGGCAGCTTGGAATGTCATTCCATTGAAATGTACCAAGGAAGCCTTTTGCGTTCATATATCCCAAGCTGAATGCCTATTGCATAAGCCTTGCGCCTTCTTCCTGCTAGTATATCATATCGCTTACATGTGGTTGTCGTCAGTATATTGGTACGTGTGAACTTTCATAGAATGGTAATGCAAATTGCATATACTCAAGGATTTGTCTTTTGCAAATCGACCTGTAATAAACTAGTTCAATGTCCGTGCACAAAGATCCACTATTAACTATTGGTAATGCTACAGAACTCGGACGCTCCGCTTCTCTCGTTCGGTCTAGCACAGCGACCGGCCCAACAGGTCCATCTACGCTCTCTCTTCTCTATCTACTCCATCTACACTGTGACAGCCGATAGAAATTCCTAACTCGTCGCTTCTCTCGTCGTGGCTCACGCCCGCTCCAAGCCGCGGCGCTCCCATTCCGCATCGAGCCGCACCACGTCTGTCGCCACGCCGTGCTCCATCCCCCACCGCGCTGTGCGCCGAGGTGCTACGACGCCGTCGTTCCCCACCAGGAGATCGTGGCCACTGTCGACTCCGGCGCCGCAGCGACGCTCAACCTCAGCTCTCGACATCATGAGATCCGGAGTGGCCAGACCCAAAGCGGGATTCTCCGGATGCACCACGCGCTCCCTTCCTTCCTCGGATGTTGCAAGCGTGTGTTGCAAGTGTATGTTTCAAGTATTTCAGATGTTTCATATGCATGTTGCAAGTGTTTCATGTGGATGTTGCGAAAGTAGAGCAGGATGTTGCATATATGGCAATGGCTATACACGTATGTGGCAAGCGTCTGTTCCAAATGTTTTAGTTGTTTCAGACAAATGTTGCACATGTTTTATCTGAGTGTTGAATATGTTTCACACTTATGTTGCAAGTGTTTCATCCGGATATATATTTTTTCACACATATGTTGCAAGTATTTTATCTAGATGTTGCATAAGTTTCGCAATGGCTACACACGTGTTTTCCTCATGTTTCAGACGTATGTTACAAGTGTTTCAACTATTTCGGACATATATTGCAAATGTTTCCTCTAGATGTTGCAAAAGTAGATCTGGTGTTGCACATGTTGCCGCAGTGGACCCCATCTGCAGCAGCCGTCTGCTGCAGCTGCTGGATCCGCCTCCATGCGCGTGGGTGTGAAGGGGGCGTGAGCGGTAGGTGCGAGAAATCATGTGGGCGCAGATCGAGATGGAGCATGCGTGAGACACAGTGGTGTGAGACCCCACTTGAAGCAGGCGTGCGACATGGACTTCCGAGCGCTAGCCTTTCCCATTAACTATATAATGCAATGTTTTCTTTTGCAAGGAACTATAATATGATGTTGTCTTTTGTAAGGAACTATAAATTAGCTAGTGTTTTAATTAGAGGTGTCGGTATCGATATTAGGGATACCCAAAGCAAGGAAGTTAGCACCCACACTGACTTCCCCGGATGGCTCGAGACGTATTAAAAGGTCTCGCTCGACCCCAAGGCCGCAGGCTCGTCTCGCTTGACCTTGAGGCCATGGGCTCCGTCTCTCCCGACCTCTAGGGTGCGGGCTCTGTCTCACCCGACCCCAAGGACACGGGTTCTGTCTCGCCCAAGGCCGTGGGCTCCATCTCGTCCCGACCTAGAGGCCGCGGGTTCCGTCTTGTCCGACCTCAAGGCCACGGGCTCCGTCTCGCCCGCCCCCTTGGGTGTGGGCTCCGTCTCGTCCGACCTCAAGGACACGATTTTTGTCTTGTGGCAGAACCGCCTAATCTAATACCTCCCAGGAGTACCTGTCTTTCATTAGACACTAAGTACCCAAGGGAAAACACTAAATTACTCGGTTCCATCGGGCACACCCCAAGAGAGAACCCAAAAATCTACATTTTTCATCAGGATCACAAATGAGAGAATAAAGCTTACATCATTCTTAACCATTGCTTACATCACTTTAATACAACATCAGAGTATAATATTTATTGTTATAACAACGGAATGTAATCATATTATCAGAGTTATGAACAATTTAATTGAACAGCGAAATATAAACATGCGATCAGAATTATAGCAAAAATAAATATCTATTCATAAAATGCTAAAGCATTGATATATATAGATTATGACAACAGATTATAAAGCTTCCATTTAATAAAATATTTGGTGAGAGTTATAAATAAAAGCTACGATCGCAGCGTAAGGAATTCTCGCTGAGCCCACCAAGAGGTATCCACACACAAGAGTCAGCTCTACCATCCGCCTGTCACCTGTAATAGAGGAAAATAAAACCCTGAGTATTCAATTGTACTCAGCAAGACTTACCCGACAGAAGGAAAGAAAAGACTCCAAGGATATGCAAGGCTATCTGGTTTATGGGTTTATTGCATCTACAAGAAGCATTAATAAGTGTGCGTCCTTATATTGGATTTTTATTAGTAAGCCGCATTAGTTCATTAACTAATCATTTCATGTAAGCACATGTGCTACTTTCAAGCAGGTGGTAAGTAATCAAATTTCCTTTTCATCACCTTTTAACTTTTAGTTCTTACTACGATGCTAGAGTTAAGACAAGTCGTACCGATTCGGTGGTGATTCACGAATCAATATCCCCAGCTGGGTACCTCGAAACACACGCCCCGCTTGTACCCGAGGCACAAGCAGGACCAACCCACTACCCTCCTGTCACGGGGTCCAGGTCCTCATCCAAACCGGGACTCCAAGCCCCCGCCCCAGAGTCCCGGGCTCAGTACGGTGTAAGGACCTCCTAACCCAAAAACCACCATGACAGTCAGTCCAGGAACCCATGACAAGAGAGTAACAAGTCTTCCAAGCGCCCATACCCAAGTATGTGCTCGGGATAATAAATTTGTGACTTGCCTAGCGTTCAATGCAACGACCGGTCCTTAACCGACATAGACAAGAAAAACAGTGTAACCAAGCCATGTCCTGTTGGTCGCAGGCAACAAACTTTTACATCCACCAATACCCAAACCATATCCCTACCCGGTCACTATTTTTCCTTTCCACCATTTATATTTTCCAAGTGATAATAATCCAGTAATATATTTCATATATCTCATGAGTGACAGTCAATCACTCGACTTCTATCAGAGTCCTGTAGCATACTACACGATCCTATCATACTACACGATCCTGTAGCAATCTACATGATCCTATTATACTACACGATCCTATCATACTACACGATCCTGTAGCATAGCAATCTACACGATCCTATGCAAGTGGGTTTCAATCAACTCCTTGAAACTTAATGCACAAATATAAT